AAAAATTACATTTTCAGAGGCCCAAGAAAGAGCTACAAGGGTGAGTCAAAAATTATCTGCACTCTGGCTGTAGAATTTATTTGAATTAACTTTTTAAAAAGACAAGTACGTCATTTTTCTATATAATCTCCTTGCTTTTCAATACACTTTGTCCATCTGTCAACAATCTTCTGTATTCCCTTATTTTAAAATGTTTTTAAAATATGATATATACACATAACACAATTACCAAAGAAAAAGGCTGAGCTACAAGCCACAAATGCACCATTGTCTTCACTTCTTCATCAGAGGTGAATCTTCATCCTTGAAGAGCTGCTATCAGGGTACCAAACAGGTGAAAGCCCAATGGAGCAAGATCAGGACTATGGGGAGGATGCTGTAACACCTCAAAATGAAGTTTCTGCAGAGTGTCAACAGTGTGGCAGAGGTGTGCAGACATTGTCATGCAAGATCACAAGGCCCGTGGATAGCAATCATCTGCGTTTTATCCGAAGTTTAGGCTCCAGCTCTTCAGTGAGCATCTCCCTGTAATGAGCACTGTTGATTGCTCAGCCTTTTTCCTGATAGTGTTCATATACTGGTCCTTGAGAATCCCAAATGGTTGACTTTTGAGCTTTTTCATGGTCAGCAATTGAGAATGTTTCCATTTCATGCTATGCCATTTATTCTCAGGAAACCAAGCAAGATAAATCTCATAAGTCAACCACCAGTTTGTAGGATCCCAGAGAGCCCAGGCAGCAAGATTCCACCAACATCCACCTCACCAGTCACCTTGGGGAGAAGGCCCACGCCCCAGCCCCAAAATAAACAATATCACCTATGAGTACTAAGCGCCTTTAAAAATCATCTGAGGACCAAATGGTCAACAATTACTTTATGACAAAGATGAGAGTGTAACAAGACAGGGAAAGTCGATTAATGCAAAGGGAATAACCATGATGGAAATAATAAGATGCTCACTCATTGTGAAGAATATAATCAATGTCACTGAACAATGCGACCAGAAACTGAGAACCTAAACTGTCGTGCTACTCTTCACCAAAAACACAACACTATTGGGGGAAAACAGCAGCATTAAAGTAAGTTTCCATTCCTCATTACTTCCCTTGCCTCCTTCCCTATGGAAGGTGGTGTGACATCTCCCTACACAGATCTTCATCGTTTTCCTGCCTATATGCGTAACTACTAAGTTTTGTCCATCAAAACCTGGTTTACATGCTTGGTATCCTGTTAACTGAATATTTTGCTACTTGACTTTCTAAATTAATTTGTTAGTGCTACAGAATTCAGAGGAGTCCCTGGGTGGTACAGTCAGTTAATGCACTTGGCTGCTCACCGAAAAGCTAGAAGTTCTAATCTACCTAGAAGTGCTTGGAAGAAAGGCCTTATGATCTACTTTTTGAGAAGCATCTGTTGAAAATCCTATAGAGCACAGTTCTACATTGACACATATGAGTCAGGCCTGGCAACAATTGGTCTTTGGTTAGATGATTAAGATGGTGCTCTATGCAGGAAGGGATTTTGACAGTGTCTCTTCCATCTGTGTCTCAGAGTCATTTGGTGAGCACATGAATGAATTTTGGTGCCCCAATCCCAGCTCCTGCTGTGGCACTATAGGACAGGATAAGCACTGGGCTGCTAACCACAAGGTTAGACATTCAAACCCACCATCTGCTCCTCAGAAACCCTATACAGGGTCACAGTGGATCAGAGCCAATTGGACAACACTTAACAGTAACAACACCCTGTGTTGCCTCCTACCCTGGTGTACCTATTACATTGCCATCTTCAGGGCCTGTTGGTTCTAGGGTGTTTTAAAGGGTTTCTGATTGCTGCTTGCCTCCCATGGATTGACTGCTGTGAAGGTGGGCCTATGTGACCTTAATGAAGGCCACCATAAAGGGCTGCTTGTTTGGGGACCTGTGCTACCCAATCAGACCTACCAACTTGAGGTTAATGTTCTGCCCTAGATGGAAACAGAAAAACAATGAGAGAGGGTTTAGAGGAGGGCCATTACAGGTTCTGGGGGCAGAGAGGCGAGTGCATTCATGCCTTCCAATTCATCCAGACAGTCATTCATTATTTATTCATCCAGCGATTGTTTGCTGAGCTCTGACTCTATACCAGGCCCTGTGTGAGGAGCTTGGAACACACTGTGAAAGAAGTAGAGAAAATTTCTGCCTGCAGGGCTTCCATACCAGTGGGGCAGACCACAGCAAGGACCTACATCTATCCAGGTATGCAGTGGTGATAATGCAGAAACAACAAAGCAGGGAGGGAAGTCACAGGTTAGTGGTACGAGTAGATTCTACCCACATAGAAAAATGGTATGGCAGAAGCGTCTGACCTTTCTAACTTCACAAGGTGGAAGGAGAATTAAGATCAATAGCCTAAGTCTGATTCCTGTGAGGCAGAGATCAGATATACCTCCTCTCTTCAACCTTTGGACTACCCCTGACTCCAGCTGTCTTTCCCATGGCACCTCTACCTCTCTGCTGAGTTCAAGAATGCATTGCAATGGCCACATAGAACTCACAGATCATAGTCATAGTTATGGGCCTTACTAGGGATGTAACTGGCTATGACTCAAGTTCAGGAAGGAAGGCTCCACATATAGTTTTGATCATGACAGCCTCTTCTCAGCCATGCCACAGGCAGGCTTCTCTCTGGTCCTCAGCCTCTCAGGAAGCCCAGACTCTACACCACCCAGGTAAGTGTTACAATGCTCTTATGGCTCTACTGGTAAGTGTCCAGAGACATCCCACTCTGTTCATAAGCCTAAACCTGAAGGCATTCAGCTCTCACTTCCATGGGTCAGTGAACTTAGCTCTGTTGCCAAGTGTCTGGAGGTACCCCAATCTGCCAGGAAGCCTCTTGCCTGCAGGCTCTCAGCTCTCTTGCTTCATGGGTCAGCACATACACTGTAATTGCCTTGCTCTGTGGGCCAGGAAACCCATTGTGCTATCTCCTGGTTCTTCTGCCTCTGTTGTTACTGTTTCTCTGCCACTGTTTCTCATCCTTTCTTGCCATTTTTGGTGTCATTGCTCTTGCTGGCTCTCTCACTTTCCCTACCCACCCCCTCTCCTGGGTTTAGGAGGTTCCCAGTGCAGAGACTGTAAGCAAGTAAAAGGTTCTTTTTGCTTGCCACTGATGTAGCCAATATTCAGAGACAGGACTCAGAATAAAGAGCAAAGTATTGGTTGAGTATCAATACCCCTAAGAATATAGGAGCAGGAATCTCCTAAATCTGTCTCCTGAGGAAAAAAGCAGAAGGGGGTTTTATAGGGAACTTGGGCAGGGGTACGGACCCAAGGAATTCTAGGAACTCTTTGACTTGTTTATTCCAGGCCATGCTGACCATTACAATCATGTTGTCACTAATGGACACCATTAATTTCTCCAGGTGGTGGTTATCAGTGGCTATCATAAGAGCCATATGGTTGTTTTCTTCCATTCCTCTGATAGTCCTCAAAACAGGAACTGACTACCAAGTAAAGAAAAAGAAGTGACTCATCTTAAAGAAAAGGGGAGTACTTCTGGAGTGCAGTAGCTGGTTATGGCAGGCAGCTAGAGGGGAATAAGGCATAGCTGGAGGCAGACAGCTAGAGATGGAGCTATATTCTAGCTATAAATATTTTACCAGGACAGCCACTCCAGCCTTCTATAGTTTGCTTTGGCCAGGCTAAAAACCCTTTATCACCCCAGGTGTCTCAGTGCCCCATTTCAATTCCCTGCTTTTGTAGTTTGTTTCTCAATCTTGTGAAACAGAATGTCATCTCTCTTTCTCTGGCTTCTTCCTGCTAAATGGGGGTGCTGTGGGATGAGAAACCATAATGCAATTTGGCACAGTCAGGAGGAGGGTCTGAGTTATGAAAATTGGAGACATCCCACTGGATCCATTGGCAGGCATCTCCTGTTCCTGAAGGGGAGTGAACTTGCTTTAGCAGGGCAAAAACTTCACCCACCCCAACAGTGCTGCCTATTCCCTGAGCCACTACCTTTACTAAACAGGGGACAAATAGATCCACCAACAGTAGTATGATTCTCACAGTAAGTAGGGGAGCCAACCAGGAATCTAAGATGGAGAAGAGGTTGGTGAACCAGACCCAACTTCCTGTGTCTTGGGATCTAGGGTTGGTCCATTCTGCTGTTTACAGATGGCTTGAATCCCAAGTTCAACTCCTATGGTGTTGATCCAGGCACATCAAATCTTGTTGATAACAGCACACACCCCTCCAACTGGGTAAGCCTAAAATCTAAAGTGATGCAGTTGTGTAGAACCACTTCAGCTAACAAATTTAGGAGGTCTGTTGAACTCTCAGGAGTCCTGGTGTGGCACTGTGGGCTAATGCATCAGACTGCAAAGCCATTTGAACTGCAAGTGTCAGTGGTACAAGCTCACCAGCTGCTCCTTGGAAACCCTATACAGGGTCACTATGGATGAGAATCGACTTGACACCACTTAACAGCAACAGCAGTTGAACTCTCAAAGCCTTCTCAGTACCCAATGCAAGGAGATGAACTGTACCAGACAAGTTGCATATGGCCATTTTCATCTAATAAACTCCCAGTCCCTGAATGGCAGTTCAGGGGAACCACCCTCTAAGTCCCCTTTCTTCTAAACTGGGGTTACATCTTTCTCCCACCTTGCTTTTTACAATGCCACTAATATCTCTTTTTGCCTGGTTTCTGGCTGACAAGGGATGGATTTTAGTAGGGAAGGCAAGGTAGCCCAGAATGCGCTGTCCTACACAATGCATTCCAGTCAGGCATTGAATGGCCCAAGGGTAGACAGATACTTGGGGTTGAAGGAGCTTCTGCCTAGTAGCAGACAGCTTTCCACCACATAAGAAGGTCTCTCCTGGGCGTTCACATAGGAACAGATTTTCATTCAGGGCGCTTGGGATACCGAGATTCAATGAGATTAACCACAAGTTCTGCAAGAACTCATTGCAGAAGGGAAATAGCTGAAAATCCCAGTAGGGCTGCCCACTCTTAGCTCAAGGGTATTTACATAGTACTTCCCATCCTGTGGGAGTAGTCTGGTTGATGAAAGCTGAAAGAAGAAAACAGGAGAGCAAAAAAGGGTATTGAATTAACCAAGTGTGCCCAGGGCACAAGGGAGGCTGATGAATGAGTAAGGTGGGGAACTCCAGCGCAGTCAAACACTGGTTCAGACAAACGACTCACTGCTGTCTCTGACCAAGGCAGGTGGTGTGCCTTCATGGCTTGGGACATGATAACTAGCCCATTCCAGGACTAGTCGCAGCATATGGATGTTCTTGCATTTCAATAATAAGAATCTGGATTCCCTTCATCTTAGTCTGGATTCTCTTCATCTTGGTCTCAAGTTTTCTCATATTTTACACAATAATAAGTCCCAGAATCTAAGGAAGTCACATCCTGAATGAAAATGGAGTAATTGTTGTTATAGCATTAGGTGGTGATTACCATGGGACCCTTTTTGCTGGTCTGAGAGTATCTAAAATTCCAGATGACACCTTCAGTAACATTCGTAGCCCCCAGGTCTCACTTTACCCATTTAACTGGTCCCACAAGTGTAAGAGCCAACACCACCAATGGGAGGACTAGGTATATCAGTCTTAATGGTGAGGGAACTCTCGACTTGCAGGAGGGAGGCACTTCTTCTAAAAGAGCCCCTTTAGTGGAAAAGAAACATAGAAACAGGTGAAAGATTAATAAACAAGTCATCAGTTCTTCTAGTGAATTTCTGCTTAAGCCTTGTTATGATAGTGCAAGAGGAGTCAGGCTAAGGTGCTTCTGGCCCAGAAGGCAGTAGGGCAGGCTTCACTCTGGTATAATATACCCAAGCTCAGATCCTGACTAGCTTTAATGAAGGATGAATAGTTAAGAGAACCTCAAAGTGTCCCAGCCACTGAGTGGTGAGCTAGTCTTGTGGATGCTGATCTCTCCACACCTTGAATAACAAACGTATAGTCTCTCATCAAGTACCTGTGTAGACAAGTGTTTGAAGAAAAAGACATTCAGAGAAAAGTAAATTAATAAATAGTTTTCAAAGCAGAGTCATGGGTTCATAGTCATTCATATTTATGAATTTCATTCATTAACCATGGAAGAAAAAGAGGCTTTCTTTAGGAATGGTCTCCTGTATACCAATTCATAGGGGCTCAATCTGAGCCTGCTTTGAGGGGCCACCATGACCCTGGGCAGAGTAATATGGAGCATTGTGTCCATCATAGGTGGGTCTCTGGACATCACTTAGCAATAGTTTTCTTTAAGCTATGATTCATCTTTTCAGTCTTTCCAATAGACTGAGGTAGCCAGGCAGAATGTACCTTCCACTGGATATGTGGGCTTGGCTTATGTCTTGTGAGATCTTGACAGTAAAGGCATTTCTCTTATCACTCTATATGGAAACTGGCAATCTGAAACAAGGGCTGATATGTTTTAGTAACATCCTGACTGCTTCAGATGCTGGGTCAGTCCTACAAGGAAAGACTTGCACCCATCCCAAATATGTGTCCACGTAAACTAGGAGGTACCTGGAATTCCCTGGTGCTCACAGCATCCATAACAGTGAAGTCAACTTGCCAGTCTTCTCCCAGGTCAGTGCCCCTATATTGTGCTCCAGGATCTATGGAGTGATGAGCAATTATGGGGTTTTTCTGGGCATATATGTGGTACCTCCGGGTGACCTTCCAGATGATTCAGAGATAGCTTAGCCCTGCAATGGCTTGCTGCATCCATTCCAGATTCGCATCCTCTTCCATACTATGTGCTCTCATGAAATGCTGAGATGACATTGTAGACCTGCTCTCATGGGATTTGAATCTTACCTTCTGAGCTTAATTTCCATCCTTGAGGTGAATTCTCATTGAAGCCACATTCCTCTGCTCTCTGTAAATCTTCT